GGTCCCGACGGGAGAGTCCGGCCCGGGCCGTCCCCCGCGGGGCGCACGCAGGGAAGAGGGGAAGCGGCGGCATCCCGCGGAGAAGGGGTCGCTCGCCTGCCCCCCCTTGGAGGCCCGGGCTCCCCAGCTCGGGAGCGATCCCTCGGGAAATGGGCCCCCTCTTCTTCTGAGGCCTCGCTGGAAAACAGACTTCGGATGGCTAATGTGCGAGCCCCCTGGGGAGGGAGATGGATTGCCCTAAAGAGGAAGACTGGATAAATGATGAAAAGATGAGGAGAGTTAAATTTAGAATAATTTAGTCCAAATACTTGAGGTGGGAGGGTAAGACAGGCAGGGGTGAGCCTTTGAAGCAGAAGAAATGAGATTTGGGTACAGTCTCCCACACCAAAAGGTACTCTTGTACAGAACCATGTCTGTCAGAAAAGAGACTCTTGATGCCAAAGAGTTTTAGGAGGAGTTGGCGAACAATTGCAGAGCTTGTTGCTGGTGTGGGGTCAGATGTTGTGATTTCCAAGCTGGTTCTTGGCCTTGCTGCAGAGAACTCTACAAAAAGAGGAACCGGTGATCATTTCACTTAACCTTGTGCCCTTGTGCCATCCTGAAACATTTGCATGTGAATTCTTGTGATTGTTGCACCTCAGCCGGAGAAAAATCTCCCCCCTTCATTGGCATTCTGTGAACAAAAGACATTGCAAACATTTGGTGTGTCACTCCATTGGTTATGAGAGTATTGCCATCGCACTAACAGAGGGAATTCAAGTACAAAAAGATGAAGTTTTTTCTGCTCATGCTTTTTTAGCAAGGACTTACCTCTTTGGGAAGGTAATTTGAAGTATACAAGAACATGCTATTACTTAGTGCACAGGCAATCTGTACTGCTTTCCACAAGGATCTCTGGAGAAGCATGTGATGTAACATCCTTTGTGCAGCGAAGTTATAGGCATCTGTGGCAGCAACCAGAACAAATCTTGAATCCTGATTACAGTCCCTATTCTAACCCCCTGAGACTTTTCCTTCCTTTTCAGATTTCCTTTCTTTCCTCTGACTTTGTCCTGAGCCTTGGTGAAGGCTGAAAACATGTTTCAGATCACACTACTTAATTTCCTGACCGAAAGGGCCGATTTGGCCAGGAGAGGTGAGGAAAATGGAAGAAAGAAGTTCACAAACAAGAGTCCACTGCATGAGGGGAGGGAAATGCAGTGTTCAGTCTCTGGTTTTGGTCTTCATGTGAAGTACTTCTGCTGTTCTCACTCTACAGTCTTGGTGCCAAAGGGTTACTTACAGTCAGGGGACACAAGTGGCATGAGCTCTTGCAGTAACAGGTGAAATTGGGCTATCCATTTTTTTTTTTTTGCATCTGCTAGCACCCCTGGGAACCAGATCTATAAAGTCTATTCAGTGCTCCACAATCTGAGATTCCATTCCCAAGATCACCAGGCATACAGCTGAGAGGATGCTGGGATGCAAGAAGCAGCAAGGATGGATGGGCTCTTTTCCCAGCTCCTTTTCCATCCTAGGGATGTGGTTTTATCTTTGAAGGCTGCATATATCGCCACCCATCTCCATGCCATCAAGTTTCTTTGAATGACTGATGCAACAGATGAGAATTAGGGCAATGAGTGTACTCTGTAGGGCTAGCTCCTTTGAAAAGCCAGGTACTTGCCATCTGCTGGAGGGTGAACAGGCCTTTTTAGGTGTTGGGAATTGGACAGTGGTTTGCCTACTCTGAAAGTTTTGGCCTTGAACGGTAGCCAGTGTTGGGGGAAATAACTCTCAAAAGAGTTGTCCATAAATTCAATACCATGAAATGACAACTGCAGGAGGCTGTGATCAGACTTTGTAAATATGTTCACAGTTCAGCTGCAGGGGCTGTCTTTCAGTGGGGTATGAGAGCTCAGAGATCTCCTCTGGTCTCCATTTCCTTCCGGTAGATTTGGGGTGAGTGGGCATCGAGTAAGCCATGCCACAGTGGCAGGATGTAATAGATTGGCCATGTGTGATAGGCTTGAGAGTGCCACCTCAGTAGGTTGTCTCCTTCTAGCAACAGAGCGGGGTATTGCTTTGCTTGGAGCTGCTGGGACCATCAAATGGGTGCACACTGGAAATACAAAGTGATGCGTGCTTGCCTTGTTAAGAAATGATGGATTTTAACAGGTGGTTATGAGGGCAAAGACAGGAAGAGTTGCATCTAATGGGCTCAGAGACAGAGAGGGAAAAAATCCAGTTTCCTTAGTCAGGCTGATAGCTGGGATTGGTATTGTTCCCTGTTGTTTGCAAAAGGAAGATTAGGGAGGTGCTTGGATACATATAAGCACCATAAAAGAAACTGTTGCTAAAGTAGGCTGACCAAAAAAGCACCTCGGTGATATGGATAAGGGTGGAGCTTTGTCTGTGCCTCGCCTGATGTGCAGCATGGCCCACTTAGTACACGAAAATCTCTGTTGTTCTCAGGATCCCCTTCATAAAAGCAGTGTCCCAATCCCATGAATACAGCCAGCCTGCCGGGGTACATGAATCTTGGAGTGGGGTGATACAACCCCTCCAGACAAGTGGTGAGGGACCAAGGATGTGTTCAGCCAGTCTGCGAAGCCTGGCAGGGTTATGTGCTCTGAAAAATCTGGGCTGTCTTCCTAGCTCTCTCTCCAGCTTTCAGAATAACAAAAGGGAAAGCAAAATAGATCTGGTTTCCTATCTTTCCTGTTACAAATAAATTCTTCTCTGCTTTCTGGAGGATTGTGAAAACTGCCTAATATTTATAGCTCTTCTGAGATGTGCAGTGGGTGATGTTGGGTAAGAACAAAGCATTAGGGTCTCCCATCCTGTCAGTGTGGGATTGAGGGATGGAGACCTTATTGCTCTCCTCCTGCTTCTGTTGCCCCATTAAAATGCTATAGACCTGATGCGAAAGAAACTGTAGCCCAGTCTGGGCTGCAGGCCCAGATCTGAGAGAGAGCAAGCAGGCTGTACTTTCATCAGTTTAATTTTTTCCATTATGCTGTCTCAGTGTCACACTGTCCTTTGAGGAAAAGGGGATCAGGGGGTCTCTACTAGTAAAGGGAGGAGTAACTACCTGGAATCATTAGTCTGTGCTGACAAAAAGCACTTAAACCATCTGTCTCCACACAAAAAAGCATGAAAGTCTCCATTGCTGAAGAAATGAAACAAAGTAAAATAGTCAGCCTGTCCTGGTTGTTACCTCTTTCATTGTTTCTGCCTGGAAATGATTTCCTATGACTCAGTGTGTCAGCTCACAGCATCCAAACTGACTCAGCTCATGCGGTTCCAGAGACGGCTCCATCCCTGTGCTGCTCTCTGGAGCCTTCCCTGCTCCTGCTGCAGCTGAGCAAACCCAGTTTCACATCTGCTTCTGCCGTTCCTGTGCCGTCTCCTGCAAGTGAGCCAGCCGGTGCCTCTGCTTGCTCCAAGCAGGGTACGGAAATGGGGCACTGGAGATGGCAATTGGCACCTCCAGGAGGTGCTAGGAAAATGGGTACCAGTGGCCAAATGGTGCTACTTAGTTTTCAAAAAATAAAGAAAGATCAAAACATGGGAGAGAAAATGGATAGCGACTGAGTTTAGCTCAGTGTTTACTTGCTGCTGGTGTTTGGAGCTAGGCTGAAAACCACTTACAGATTATGGTTTCCAGAGGCAGCAACAGCCCATCTCTCACGGTTAAGCAGTCTCTGGCCCCTGCACTCGGCGGGCACAGGCAGGGTGCGACCATGTGGCAAAACAGGACAGGGAACTGATCTGACTGAAAACTACCCATGCTTGCAGGCTCACCTTTCAGCTGGTTCAAGTGCCTGACCTGGTTCGCCAGTCACTTGTGCCAACTCAGGGCAGAAGAAGGAGGTATGGAAATGAGTGGCCACAGAAATACATGTGGGGGGTGATGAGTGGCTAAGCAGCACTGCTGGCTACAAAACCATGGCCAGCAGAAGCAGTTGTGCACAGCAGAGTAGAAGGCCCGACAGAAGATCTGGTTCTGACTCACTCTTTCTCAGCTGGGGATAGCCCAGCTCTGGGGGAAGTCTGAG